CGAATATATTATACAGCAGATCTGTTACTTTCGTGCAAGTACGAGGTCCGATATTTGTTGAATGGGAGAGACAAATGCTGTCCGAAGTGCACTCGCGTACGCAATGGTTGTCCCGTGTGGGACCAGGGAGTATCTGGAGTTGTTAACCGGTGAATGCGTTAAGGGAATCAGAAGAGCATAGTAAATAGTGTAATATGCGACTAAGGTGCAGATTGAGCGATCGGTCGACAGTGGTAGAGCTTATCGTTCCAACACGCAAGAGAGCCAGTGGAGTTGCTACGCCGGGTTAGCGACCCATGTGAATAATAACGTGACGTGTTCAGTACTCGGCTGCTAGAGAAATAGCTGGGTGCTGGTGTGCGACGGAGTGTTAGCGAAGCTGAGACGAGGATAAACGTGACTATATACTACAGATGTGGCGAGGATACGGTTTCAACACCAGCTCTGAAAGGGAACTGGAATAGCGGAAAATGATAGGCGGCAGCGCTAAAAATATCAGGCGTTCCACGCCTAGTTGGACAGCATACAAATCAAATAGACAGCAGGAAAAGTGCTACTGTGAGTCGGATTAATTATGAAAAAGCAACGGTCCGCTGTCTTGTGACGAGACACGGTCTGCTAGACATTCAACGCTAAACACAGGAGAAAGAATAGAAGGGATTTCGCACTACGGCTGTGGCGAGAAACCGGTTGCAGTGTCAGCTCTGCAAGGGATCAGTAATGGCGGAATAGCATGTGCAGCAGCACCAGATGATGACTAGGCTTTCCACCATAATGTGGACACCCAATGTGGAACGTAAAAGTCATATAGACGGCTGGGGAGTGTTGCCGGCAGCCCGATTAATTGATACTCAGGAGAAGCACGTACTTTTAGTCTCTGGCACGGGGTAAAAGAGCAACGGTGTTGAAAACAGGACGGAAAACACACAGCACTGCTTAAAACAACTGTGGCAAAATACCTTTGTAAATCCAGCTCTTGGAATTACCAGTGGTAAGGGAATAATACAGGCACCACTGCCAGGAGATGCCGTGTATCACTCCAAGGTTTGCTTCTAAAGTGTGACGTCCAACTCTAATTGGTCCGCAGGGAAGTGTAAAGGTGCTTGTCGGATTGGTTGTGAAGCCGGAGCCGCGCACTATCCAGGGATGTGGCACGTACTAACAGGCATTCAAAATTGAAACCAGTAGCAATAATAGACGGACTACCTACTACAGTTGTAGCGAGAGAACTGTTGCAAAGCGAGCTGTGAAACGGGCCTGGAGCAGTGGAATAACTTAGGCAGAAACGTCAAAAGATACTAAGTGTTCCACCCCAAGCTGGACATCTGCAGTGAAGCATAGAAAACAGATAGACGGTAGAGAAGCATAAGGGTGCGTACCGGGTTAATTGAGGTGCAGGAGTCCCTCAGTATCTGAAGAAAAGACATATGCTGATGTGCATCCAATGCTGAAAACTGAAGTGAGAGGAGACGAGACCACATAGTATAACCGTATGTAGGAAACGGTTGCAGAACCAGTGCTCCAAGGGACATGCGGTAGCAGAAGAATATGGGCTGCATCGCCAAAAGATACTAAATGTGCAACTCCAGATGGGTTATAACCATGAAAAATGCAAGCCAAAATGAAGGCAGAGATGAGTGGTGGTGGAAGCCCTGATTTCTTGCGAACCAGGTGACAGAAGCTGATTACGATGAGGCATGGACTAGTAGGTCATTAAGTTAAGAACCATGACGCGAATGGAAGCGATTGCAACCTACCGTTGTAGGGAGAAAACAGTTGCAGACGAACTATTAAGCAGGACTATAGGAACCATGGTCGTGTAAAAGTCTGTGGCGACCAGTATCGGCGTGCAACCTAAAATGTCGGAGGAAGTCGTTACCGTCAAGTGCCAATCGTGCAGACTCAACTATGAAGACTCACTGAAATTCCCGGCATACAGTGAGGTCCAGGCTCATCATTCGCTGACCAAATGAAACTATCGGGGAAGCTTTGGCCGTGCGCAGCTTGTACATAGGCTTTGGGTGGTTTATGTTCACGTTCGCATGGATGAAGCTGACGTCTGCTCTCGTGTCGATGAATGTGCTGGAAGAATGTCGAGGCTTAGCGTAGATCAGGCGATTTGTTTGGTTATTGACTGGTTCGTCACTCGTGCTAGCATGCGGGCTAATCGTCTGCTGAAGCGGCTGAGTCGTGCATAACACAGGAATCCCGACAACATTCAGCTCTTCTACGATATTGGCTGAGATACCAATATAATTCTTCCACGGATTTGCTATGGTCGGACTAAGAACGTGTAGAAAAATGCTGCGTTTTTTATTATCTAACTTGACGTACTCGGTGCAGGCACAGCCGAGTCGCAATGAACTATAGACACAACGTGGTCAGCATCCGACTATGGCAGACGCTGCTTCGAAGCCTTCATTGTTGCTATCCTGCTGCGAAGAAGCGCCATTTCTTCGGCTTTAACGTCAGATCGGCCTGACGACTTGGAGCAAATATGACACTCGGTTTTCATCGGTGAGCATACCGCACCGGAGCTACTGGTCGTCTGCTGCAGGAGACGTTTGAACGCAGCGTCTGCCTTGGTAGCTAGTTTTTTCAGGGGAGTATCCAGCAACATGGACAGCCTTACCGGCAATGGCTTTGGGTGACGGGTAAACCGCAGTATTTTTATCCACTCTTCGCTCATGAATAAGAGACCAATGATGCGCGGAAGCGCGCGGAGCAACATCGGCGGTTTGCGATCTTCCAACTTGAGACCATAGAGCCGTTCAAATCGAGATTGTGCGCTGGGCTGTAACTATTTTAGAATCGCTTGCTTCGTTGTCCCATTTTTATCACATTCGATGTGCGGAGTCAACCAGAGTCGCAACCGCTGGAGCATGGCATGCAACGAGCTGATTATACTTCGGACGGTCCGCCGTAAAGCGCTTATTTGTGTGTCCGATCTCGAATATGGCAAACCAAACCTCTAGGCTGTTGTCCATGAAACTTGGAACAGCAAAAGTAAGCATGTTTACACTGTGAAACGACTCAGATGCCACTTACGAAATGTAAAGCGAAAGGATAAAGGACGAACGAAAACACCATGAACCTACTAAAATTACGCAAGCAACAAATGCATACACGTAAATAATCGAGAAAAGGAAACGAACTCACCAAAATATACAAAGGACAAGTAAGTTTAAATGCATGCATGCGAATTTGGGTCACAAACTTGTAGGACTAGTAAATAATAGTCCAAGACGGTGCGCGAAATTGAGCGCGGATATCAGAAGGCAATTGCAGTCGGGCAAAGCGGAATGTGTTGGATGGGCTGCAAGAAAAGGCGGACGAAAGAAGCAAGACAGGAGGCACAGGTTATGGCAAAGCTCACAATACGGTCAAGTGCTGAGTCGGATGTAGGTCAACCTAGCCGTAAAGGAGATTAAAAAGAGAAAGAATACTGTGCCATTGGACATCAGCGAAACGGTACCCATAAGTAATCGTTATCTTTTGGGGCCTACACCCATATATTTGACCGCTCTGTATGAAGATGGATGGTCATGAGCATGCCTTATAACATGCAGAAGATTCTAAATCGATGCGATAATAGTTAATAATGGATTAGTCAAAAAAGTAATGGATTTTCGGTGTAATTCATAGTTTCGCATTGTCCTGGCTATTTAAACCCGACAATCTGCCAATTCTGCTAGGTTATGTATTGCGCCAAAAAATGCACTTTAGTAAGTTGCAAGTTTCGCTTTTGCTATTTTCAATCCTTCCCAACGTCCATTTGTGTACAGTCCACATATCCGTTTCGCCTGAACTGCAATGGTGAAATGCGTGGTACAACGTTAAAGGGCTGCACACAACAGTCACCCAATGACCGCGCAGAGTCTGCATTCTAGCCTTGTATGGACGAAATACGTTTGTCGCGCTAGTATTGCATCTCGAAACTCGCTTCCGTAGCACGCATTTAGGGTATCCACGCTAGAGGGTTTCGAGCGGCTGTTAGATTCATTGGTTGGGCTTAACAATAATTACTTTTCGCTTATGGACTTTTATGTTCAGCCTCCTCATATAGTTTTTCGGGTTCTTTTCGTGCATTGGTAATATCTTTAGGTGGTAGACAGTCCTCATCATGTTTTCTTTGCTTAAACACAAATATCTTACTACATAATCCTGCCCAGGCAGGAAAAACAGGGCAGGTAATGTGAGCAGTAATTGGATGAGCAGGGGGTGATGCGGTCTTCGATTTAGGCTTTACAACATCAGACTGCCTTATCAATTCCCATTTAACGGTTAACAAAATAAAATACTTTCAAAGCATTATCCCATCGTTCCGCTAACAATTGAACTTGAAAACAGACGTGCGTGCCGTAAGCTAACGGCTCCAATAAACCCACATAAGGAAAAATTTAGGTACGAATAAATAGTGCAATGTTTTACTGTTACAAAATCAACTAATTGTTTTACCGCTTTGGTAGACCATGATTTCCTAATTTCTACTTCGTTCTTTTTGTAGCAATCGCGTCATAAGTCGGTTGTGCGGAAGACGGGTGAGTGTTGTTTCTTCATTCCCATTTAAAATGTGCACTCTTATCGACATGAAGTTAATTTTTAATATTAGTGGGGTACGCAATTTTATAACAGGATTAAAGTATTTTTACTTTACACGACTTAGTAGCTTTTAAATTTTACTTATATATCAGTAGCGTTCAGAAACACCGATATTTGTTTCTACGTATATACATATCTATATGTAAATAAATAAATATATGTATATACCTCAGTTCTTAATTTATAGCTATTTTAAGGAACACAGCCTGTTTTTATGCAGTGTTACTAGTGTTAGCTTACAAGTGACTACTTTTCGTGGACAATTACATGTTTGTCTGGTAATATACTTGCTCAAGTTCTGTGTGCTATGCATGTAAAGCGCACGGGAAAGACGGTAATTGGATTTTACTCAGGATAAGTTAGCCATTATCTCCTCTCACTTCCCTCCGTTGCTAATCGCAGTCACCATTTAGGGAGCATCTGTATATCTCCACGTCACTGCCTTTGTAAGTGTCAACTGTCGCGTCATTTACCGTACTTGCTTTACACACTGCTACCGTTTTCTACATTTTCGAGTAGGTAGACGAACGCTTTTGTGTTCTCTTATAGTGTGTTATTCTGACGATATTTGGCTGAACTCAGATTAAAATGGCCAGTCAGTAATGCTGCAGAACACGAATATAAGCTAGCAAAATATTTATTAGAAGGTTGCTAAATCATGACTGAAAATAGGGCATTGGAAGATGACTAGTTTTTCAATTTCCTCCTTGGCAATAAATGAGTTTTCTCAGTGAGCTGTCCTTAGGTTTTATTTTGCTTTGATAGTTTCCGAACAGTATTTACAAGAGTGCCGTGCAAAAAGTTTCCCTTTTTTCAAATTTCGAATAATCCAAAGTACCTTAGATCACCGTTGTCCTCTCATTACGTCGTACCTGTAATCGGATACTTAGCTAAAGTCTTAACCTTTTCTGGCTCTGTCTATTTTCTGGTACTTTGTGTTTCGTAGTGCGTTTTGCACCTTGTTCTGACCCGTAACTGCTGCTGTTGACTGCGCTGCAGGTAACAGGTCGTCGGTTTTACGTTTTGATTCTTGTTTCACACTGGTTTTGAAATCATATCGGATTCCCTGAATACCGGCGCTCAAGTGTCTTCGGATGCGTTGATCAGCGAATCTACTGCCGTATACCGCAGCATGAGCTGCTCAAAGTCCGGGACGGACGAGTCTGGTGGCGTGCAGTGCTATCTATGCAACTGCTAATACCATGAGACCTGTACCGATTTCCGCTCTGAGCAGTACACAATGCGCTCGACTAGCGGTAGCATGCTGCTCAATTGTCTTCTACGCCATAGACGCCCGTCTACGTGTCTTGAGGTTCCAGAAAACACATCGAGCAACGTCGGGCTGGGTAACGAGCATATGTGGTCTTCCTCACCTCTTGATCATAAAGTGGTTACTTTTTATAAAATGGGAGTCCATTGATATCTGGTTATTGGAGGAAGCCAGGAAGCCAACCTCACCTGCTGTCGCTGAGAATCCGACTGAGGTGATGGCTACTGTGTCGTGTACCCCAGCTACCCAGAATGCCCCTAACGTGACCTCTGATCTCGTACTGGATGTCGTCCAAGGGGAGACCGATTTTGTAGGTTCTGTGCTTATGGAAAGCAAAATGAAGAGGGCTAAGAAAGTTCTTAAGGTTGTCGCAAAGTCTGGACGTACTGAACCCATAAAGGTATTGGAGGTAGAGCACAAAGCTCCAACTCCAATCACCCTAGTTCCTTTGGCGAAGAAACGCGCCGTGTCGACTTCTGTCAAACCCGCAAAGCCTGAAAAGTCTAGACCAGTGAGGAATTTGGAGATAGAACACAAAGCCTCAGCCTCAATTACTCCAGCTGATTTGGCGAAGGAACGCGCCTTCACCCGCCAAACCGATCAAAACCGGGGTCGAGTCGAAGTCACGTGGAGTGAATATGCATCGAGGTGATTCTTTTACTGATGGCAGCGTTACCTTGCGTAGCGTTGCGGAATCCGCGGCAGCTCTTACCAGGGAACGCATGCCGTATTACCTCTAGTGGTTCAAGCTCTGCATCACCAAGAGGCTTCCGCGTGGTTTCCTTGGTGTCACGATCTATAAGCTATCCACACTGGGGAACGTCTCTATCGATACACCAGATCCGCGACCCAGACTACCTGGTGTAATCCTCTCAAGCCCGGAGGAACGCAAAGCGTTACTGCGCCTTGCGTTCAAACTCAAGGGCAGTGATGTCAGCGTTCAGTCGGACCTCCCAGTGGCAGATCCACCGAAGTTAATAGAAGCAAGCAAAGCCTCAGGAGCAGGCGAGCGGCCTGTGTGCGAGGTCTCCGTTTTGTGGGTTTTCGGATGGTCAGCCAGAGATCAATTTGTGTCCTACCAGAACCGCTTCTGTTAACGTACGATCAGGGCTGATCATACCGAGTTCATTCTGGTGGTGCTTAGCATTGTGCGCATCCTATGGTACATGGGACACGAGGTGTAGCTACTTGTCGACAAATCTCGTCCTGACTTACTCGTTTTCACTGAAACGGGGTTGTCATTGGATACCACGCTACTTAGACGTGACCGCTCCGTTGGCCGCCAAGTTGGGGCGTCGCTGTAAACTGGATGTGTTGTGGACGTGTTTTCCTGTCTCCGCATCAACCTGCACTGCCCAGTTTACCATTGTAGTAATAGAACAAAGTCCTGGAAGCCTCCCTAAAGAGGTTATTGAGTTTATTCATGCTCAGGTTGCCAATAGATGTTTAATACTGGGGGATTTCAATCTCCATGAAGTCTGCTGGACTGATCTATCCTACAGTTCGGCAGTGGGCACTTTCGATCCGGATCTCCGCGAGCTTACGTTGCAACTGTCTTCGCATAAGTTCGTGGACATTCCGACTAGATACATGAGCAGCAACTGGCTTTTGTCTACCTTAGATCCCGTTATTGCGGTCGCACAATTTTGTAAGTGATAATACATACGGCTACCCTCTAGGAACCAGTGACATCCGCATATCCTTTCGATGTGCTCTCATTAAGTGTTATCAGGCCACCGCTGAGGCATGTCTAAATATTTGGCGGGCAGACTTTAACGCAATGCGAAACAAAGCTTCATTTCTGCGTTGTGCGGTCTCCCTGGTTGACATTGTTGAGTCAGCATGGGAGAAACTTAAGGTATACCTCACCGTGATATCTGCTCTCCACATCCCACTCATTAAGGGAAGGTAGACACGTTCACCGCCTTCTTGGATGGAATATAAAGGTAAATACCTGCTCAAGAAACGCTCTAAGTGTTGGCGAACTTACCAAGTGGATTCATCAACTAACACCTACGAAACCTAACGATCGGTTAGAAATAAATGTAAGCAACATCTTAGGACTGATAGTCTCCATTGCGAGAAGGATTTAGTTGACGCAACCGTAACAACTCCAAAACAGTTATTTGCATACATAACGAGGCTCAGCAGTACAAACTCGTCTATACCAGCATTATTACGAGCGGACATTGTCTACGAAGCATTGATGGTGTGAGATGGCACCAGCGTGTCATCATTAACAGCAGTACGTCAGCCATTTGAACTGATGCTTCGCTGCCAGACAACCATAATGACCTATGAAATAAAGAATAAGAAGAGGGAGAGAAGGGGGACTTATCTGAAAACCTTAATTCCCCAAGCAAACCTTCAGGGTCAAGGCGCCTACACCTTGTGTAGACAACATACGGTCACAAAGAGCTGGCTATCGTGCAAATATAAGGCGGCATCGGCGAGACAGCTTCCTTGCGACTTTCACTGCCGCGTGTCATGATCAGCCATTAATCCGCAGATAACTCAGCACCAAACACACTGTAAACTGGCAATCTGACTAGGAGACGGCAGCACGCGCCACTGGTGTCTACTGCGAGCCATGTCCCGTAGAGTCTCGAACCAAGCACAAGGCGGGTCACGTGGACTCCAGCCCGGAAGGCGAGACGGACCAACGGCACCCAGTTTGGTCGTCAGTGACTTCATTTCCCGCTGCCAAGTCACCTGTCCACCTCGAGCCTTGCGCAATCCTACACCTGGCAGACTAAACAAGGCCCTCCTAGGTAAGCGGTGACCAGGCATGCGTAGCACGTGCCTGAACAAACACAACTTATTCAGTGCTATCTATTGTTCTAGGGAGCTAGCATGATTATCACTACCTAGTACTCGCCTACGCACATCATCGTTGTGGACACGTTGGTGCCATCAGACACCAGCAATGCTTCGCAGACAATGATGATCAAAGACTTGAAGGCGCCTCAGATCTTCAGACCGAAAGGGCCAAGTCTCACTACCATAGAGCAGAACAGCACTCACTGTGGTCTTGTATACCTGGGCTTTCAGACGGAGGGAAACTCCCTTCTGTCACCAAAGATGCCGTGGGTTCAAGAAGGCAGTTCTGGCCTTTGCAAATGCGTGAGCTGACGTCAGTTTCTATGCGCCCATCGTTGCTGATGCAGCTGCCTAGATAAGTGAATTGATCAACCACCTCGAGTTCCTCGTTAGAAAGGATCAATGGGTCATACAGTGGCTGGTAATCCTGCAGCAACACTTTGCATTTTGAAAGTGCAAAGCGCATACCAAATAAGGGGACCACACTTGACAGGCTATCCAGCATTGATAGTGTCATCGCAACATCGTCGAAAAGCAAGGCGATATCGTCCGCGTAATCAAGATCAACTAATCTTTCACCAGGCAGCACTTCAACGCCTACATCTTGAGATTCCGCAAGGGAACACTCCATGATAGAAATCGGACAACCCTGACGAACGCCACTTGTGGTCGGAAAGCTATCCGACAGGTCACCGTAGACCCTGAAGCGGCCTATAGTCTTCGCATATAGAGCACAAAGGATGTTCACATATTTTGTGCGAACACCTTTCCGCGCAAGTATTTCGAACAGAATCGATCGATCGACTGAATCGAACGCACTCTTGAAACTTAGGAACAGTTATTGTCGGTCTGCGCTATGCTTGGCGCTGCTGTAGCACCTGCCGCAAAGTAAATATCCAACCAACCAACCAACCATTCTCAGCAGTCTATTAGCTAGACAGAGCCAGTCTAAAACCATGGAGATAAGGAGATAAGCAAGATTCATGGCGTCATAATCATCGTGGCATGCTAGTAGAAGGTGAGCAACACACTTCTAATATGCCGCAAGAAGAATGGAACATTTTGATAAAAAGCAGAACAAAACATTTTTAGTTTGTTTTTCACACGCCGCTTTTGTTCTTTTTTGTCATTTTAATGTTTGTAGAATTAAACATGTGAATCAATACAATAATGTACACAATTCTTCCACTGATTCCGGTTGCGGGCCATATCTTCAAGAGTGCGAAGCCATTGGCACTCCTCATCTTTGGGTCCCCATCCTGGAAGACGTACGGATCATACAGCGGCTAGACACGACGTCAGCGATTTCATGTGCTGCCGCCAAGTGGAAGGCTGACCACCACGCGGTCGCCTCCA